TGTCTATACTGAATTACAATGACCTGACCTTACATATTTGGAATGCTATATATCACTTTGTAGTCATCTAAAATAATTTTATATAATGATGCCCTGGGGGGACAAAATTGGTCCAGCCCAGGAGAGGGGGGTCACCTTATTACCATATATTGGAGATCAATCAGTTTACTTTAGTCTCCTTGTGTGACACTGAAATGCACAGATTTTAAGTACTTGGCGTGTTTCAGGTTATGAAAATAATGAAACTGGGCTAACAAATTTCGCCATCCCTCCTCGTAATGCCCCTGGTATCTCTTAGTTAATGCAGACTGTAATATGACAACACATTTAAATCTTGTTGAATACAACAATGCAGCATTGTCTTGCGCACCTCTACAGTACAAATGTTCTATATATCATGCAGTTGTGACACACCAAATTTGAAGTAAGTACATGTACTTTTCTCTTGAAGGATTGTGACCTTTTCCACCAATGTATGTTAGGAGAGCGATCCGGGGCCATTATGATCCTCGTGTTGTCTTGGTAACATACTTCAAATAAATGATCAAATGTCATGAAAAACGTCAGAATAATATTGAATGTCGTTCTATCTCAAAAGGATGAGCTTTAGAATTAGAGCTGTTGTGCTGACATTTGCCAGTTTTTAGTAGTTTGTATCATAATTTGTTAAGACATCAATGTTTTTCGTCCATGAGTTGAACTAATTTAATGATTTGTCAACCAGTTTCCCTTAAGAAGAAATATACAAATATTTTTTTAACTCTTTTATTTATTTTTTGGGGGGAGATTATAAGGGGCGATGTTGTACTGTCAGAAGGGAAAAAAAGACACAGGCAATATGGCGTAAAAGTATATCAAAACATATCATTTTATACACTTATACCAGATCTGAATACATTTATATCATAATTCCATACATTTATACCATATTTGAATACATGTATACCATAATTCAATACAGTTATACCATATTTTTATACAATCATATATACCAACGAACCAAGTAAAAAATGACAATGTTAATCTTGTCTAAGCTCGGGTGACCCCATCGTGATTTCGATTCAGACACGAGGAGCATCTGAGTAGAAACACCGATGTTCCGTGAGCTATCTTCATAGCCACCTAACATGACAAAATCCTATGTTCCTTACGGGTTCAAACTTACAACGATGAAAGGCAAATAGCGGGCAACATTTAGCAGACAGACTTTGATAAGGTTAATGGCACTGAGGAGGAATAACGTGACATATATAATGTCTAGGAAAGGTAAATTTAACTTACGTTAATTATGTCTACGTGCTGATATAAATGTCATATCTGAGGATTGAAAGTCAATCTATAAGTGCACTTTTAGTATTCCGGAGAGTTGTCCAATGCTTTGAGCAGTTTATAATACTAGTATTTATTTTGATAAACAATGAATTCTGTTTGTTATACTAATTTTCATTATAATTTTGAAAATGTGTTTAAAAGTAAAATATTGCAAAATGAATAAAGAAAGTAATTTACATATTGCAAGTGGCACTTACAATCCACGTAAATTACAAAAAGGGTCGAAATATGCAAAAAAAGTCCTTACTGCGTTAGTAACGCAGTATAAATATGGTGATAAATACTGCAAAATCAGTCATTAATCGCACAAAAGATATAAATTATTACTTGAATCTTGAATCTTTTTGCTTTTCTTACAATGTTAGTGTGTTTTCCAAAAGTTTGATTTTCTTGAAATATTTTGGCTCAAAGGCATGCAGCTTTAAAATAACTACCTGTTATTATTTAATGTCTCTTTATATTTCCTTTGAAATGGTTTAAGTAAGAAACACCGGAAGAGCAGACCGTTAAATAAAGTTGTTGGTTTTCTTTTTGTAGGATAAAATATGAGCGTGTAATATAACAAGTATTTCACAAAATTGACTTTCGGATAACTAGTATTTTGCAGAAAAAGTTCGTTTTCGGCACATTAAAAACAGCTTTTAAATATGCAAAAATACCCTGCATGTAAGTTAAAATGCAGAAAAAAATCATCATTTTTAAGAAAATGTGCTTATAGGACATATTGTTGTTGTTGTAAAAAAAAAAAAAAAAAGAAAAAAAAAAAAAAACAAAAACGGAACATTCCCGATATAGCAAACGAAGTTAATTCAGTCATTAACCGTTCTATCAAAAGGTGAACGACATGGTGAAATTTAGTAAACTGTGTACACTAGTCAAGAATGGTATAAAGAAAACAAAAAGGTTGTTTTGAACAGAAACATTTTTTGAAGGCGAAATATTCCATTTGATTAATAGGGGACAAAAAATTGAAAAATTTTCTTTGAATTTAAAATATGATAACCAAATTTGCCTTGTTGTATTTTCTTTTTACGGTTAAGTAAGACTTTTCTTATAGGTCAAATGTGTTTCAGAAATGCTTTTATTTTTATTTCCCAAAAGCTTTTAAATCTGTTGATTTTTGGCAATAAGTACAGTTATAGTGAATACATGTACTAGTAAGTTTTCTGTATAGAAGTCAAAATACCATTTTGTTTACATTTTGCTACTTTAATGACAATTTATTTTACTTTTATCGCTACTTTCTTCATGTAACAAAATCTGACATTCTCTAGAACCAATATTCAATTCATGTTTGCCCTCTCTAAATAAGTAAATTTCTAAATTTACTCGTTTCTGAGGCATAATGTGCTTTTAAGTTTTATTGTTATACATGTATGCCCTATTATGGCTTATATGTGTTGATTTACACTGGTATACATTGTAAAAGAGCTTTAAAACTTTGTCTTATTTTTTCAGTCTAAGAATTGTCTTGAATTGAGTTTTATTTAAAACATCTAATGAATCTAAGACCAACATTAAAATGTGAATACTAATGTACCTGTATAAACGTAGAAAATACATCTGGATATCAATTTTGCGTGTATTGTTGTAAAATAACGCACGGTTTGTGTGTAAATGCGCAGGAATACAATCGCGAATAGGCTTGAAGCGTTAGAAAAAGATCGGACTAAATTCGATGTAAAACCCCGTAAGGAAACCGGGGCAAAATGGAACACGGGCAAAATGGAACACGGTGCAAAAAGAAAACCGGGGCAAATGGAACACGGGCAAAATGGAACACGGGACAAAAAGAAAACCGGGGCAAATGGAACATGGGACAAAAAGAAAACCGGGGCAAATTGAACACGGGCAAAATGGAACACGGGCAAAATGAAAAACGGGGCAAAATGAAACATGGGGCAAAATGAATCAAGTCGTAAAGCATCTATATGAGTCACCTATATTGACAACAATTATCAGAATTATCCTGCATCTGGGACGCGTATTCATTGCGGTAAATGTCTGCTAAGTTTTTACAAGATAAACAAAACACTTTGCTGAAAATGTTAAGTCATTCTAAAAGTAGAAAAAGGCTTTTGGATGAAATAGTTTGATTTGTTTAACTTCATGTTCCAACACCATAAATGACCCACCTCCGTTTCGGTCATACTCAGCAATAAATGCAGCCTGAAACCATTCACCTTGTCTTCTCCCAGACTGTAGCACACCTATCTGTGAAGTAGGGCTGGGGCGAGTATCCGAGTACTCGGATAATCACGAATCAAAGTGAAAAATCGAGTTTGAATATTCGTAAGCCCAGAGATTGTGTATCGCGATCTAATTTTTTATATACATTCACTGTTTCTCACTCTTAAAATCTGAGTATAAATTATATGAAGTTTACCTAAAATACAATTTGCCGGTTAAAGATCATGTACCATGATGCTGAGCTAGGAAGTAATTGGTTTCAAAAACAAAACAAAAATACTCATCCAAAGAATAAAAACATAAATCTATTTTATAAATATATATTTATTTAATAAATCATGTTTTTATAACTAATGTAGATCTACATGTTTTTATGGATGTCTTGATAACAAAAGATTTGTGGTTTGATTTGTGAATCGTAAGTGCTGAATCGTGGTTTGGATCGGATCGTCACTTATCCGACGATCCACACCCCTACTGTGAAGTCTAGGCAGAACCTGGACTCATCAGTGAACAGAACGTGTCTCCAGTGTTGCATGGTCTTTGGTGTATGCCCCATGGTCCATTCCAAATGGGCCTGGGGATGTTGATGCTACAAGGGGATACGTATGCAAGGTCTTCTCGACTGCAAATTACCTTTGTGCAGCCTTGTAAGTACCTCTGTGTGGAAACACAGACCCAGCAGTATTAGCAAGGTCATTTCAAAGAGAAGTTGCTGTCGAAAACCTATCACAATGTGCCTGAATGGCCAAAAATGGATCCTGAGCTGGTGTTGTGACTCTTTGTGGACCTCCAGCATGCCTCCTGGCGGGTGTACCATATAGCCAGTATCTCTCCCAGACTCTGGTGATGACAATATGGTGTACACCATGCGCCGCACAAACCTGGCGAAAGGTTGCCCCCTGCTGCACCATCCCTACAGTCCTCCATAACTTTGCTTCTCTCAAATGCCGCCTAATGTTAGCATTCACCATATTGAAGTGACAGATGTAAGAAATTTAAGTCACTCAATGACAATATGCCAGTAATGTTGCCGTATAACAAGACATTGTGATGTACCATCCATCAAAACATGAAAATTTTGGAATGCATGCTTTCAGTGCTACCTAGACGAGTTGTTACGGATAAGTCAAACAAATTTATGTCAAGGGACTATTCCAAAATATTGCTGAATCGAAAGTTTCAAAAATTGGAAAGAATTCTGTTTTATACTTGGGATAATATGAAAATTAAGTTATGGTGCTTAGCAAAAGTTGAGTAGTATATTATGAGCAATAGGTGTGAAATTTCTTGCTCATGGCAATGGCGGCTTGCCCCTGATGGGATCTGGAAACCCCCAGTGAGCACAATTTGATATCTAGTCTGATATGTTTACCACTCAACCATGCTTCAGTATTATGATTTGTGTGATAGAGCAGGGGTATTAATACAACATTATTTTAATTTATAACTTGTTCTCTTTAAGTATGTATTTCATAAAATACTTCTTTTTTTTCAGCGGAAGAAATTTGTTCAAGTGAATAATTTATTACTGAGGATATGTAATAACTTTATGCATGTAGTCCAACAACCTACCCCAAAGATGGACTTCAACTTAGAGCCTGAGCTCTTAAAAGGGTTTGTACACTGATATGATTTTTAAAGCATTTTTTGAATATCTATCTCTTGGGTAACTGTTAAGTGGAAACTCGGCATAGCCTTGTTTCCGCTCTAAACAGTTATCCTTGGGCTATATGTTCCAGTCTGTACTGATAGCCAATGTAAGATCCTTATAATTTTGGTCGGGTTAGTAAATTAATCTAAAGTTATCATGCTTGTCAAGAATTATTGACACATCAAGGGAGTGCAATGTGAGTAAGAATTCATGTATATAATTTAGGTGTTGCCTCCCTTTGTATAAAATTTATGCTCCGAACTCTTTGGGGATGTCACTGTTTACAGACTGGTTGACAAAGTTACTTTTAGCTACTTTCCCCTGACCACTGAGGGTTTGAATCTTTCCAGAGACATTTAGTATTTCATGTGAAAAAGTTTAAAGGTGATTAATTCTAGTTTTACATTTCCTCAATATCTCTAAAACCATTTTGTAACTGTGTTAAATTTGCATTTTTAAGCATCTATCTGGGGATTCAATATTTATACATTATTATGCTCCTGCAAACAAAGGGAATAAGGGACAGCTTGTCAGTTCGTTGGCTGGCCAGTCCTGTCCTTTCATGTGAAATCTTATGAATGCTACTTCTGCCAGTCTTATAGATCTTGATAGATTTAATTTATTTTAAACTTAATTAATATAACCATACACTTTTTAGCTCATCTGAGCACAAAATACTTATAGATACCTTCAGGTGTAATACACAATTAGGTCACAGAATCTAAAAATGTACTGGGGCAACGAAGACTTTAATAATCTTCTTGAATAACTACAATTCTCAAAGCTAAGATATTTGACATATATAATCATTAGTTTGATAAACCATGGCTCTTGGGCCAAAAATTGCCCTGACTTGAGTAACATTTGTTACATTTACTTGTATGGGAAACTAGATTTAAAACTTTTCAGCTTAGAAAATATATAAGCTATACAATGATGAAGATATGATAAAATCAATGTTTTTTTAATCCGACTTGAAAATAATTATCAAAAATCACATGTCATTAAAGATAGATCAGATACCATGTAAAGTACAATGTATTTAATATTTCTTCAATAAGTGGTATACTCATTTTGAAGGCAAATAGATACCATAGTTACACACATGACACATATATACTTGTCTTGTAGTTGAAAATGATCTAAGTACAATCTTTATTACAGTCTTCATGTGGAAGGTGATACTACATTTGTGAACAGTTTGCAGTCAGAGCATTTCGGTGAGCCAGTAAGTCTTCCCGTTGCTTTTTCTGCTTTTATAAATATATAATGTTATCTGATTGTATGAAAATATCTTCAGTTGCTTGTATGAATATATTGAATTGCCAGCTTGTATGAATGTATGATTTTCACAGTCACCTTGTATGAGTATATCATTGTTTGCCTGCAGGAATATGTTGACAGTCTTTATTTTTCACTTACAAAATACAACGTAGTTTCATGCAATGTTCATAGGCCAAACAATGAATAGTTTGTGTGTATGAATTTTCATGCTCGTGTAGAAAACAGAATGTTTGTACATTAATGAATAAACATGAGAAAAGATGTGAAATAATATGATTACCTTTAATTTCATTGACCATATCAGAATCATTGTGCAATAAAGTTGGATGGGGTTGGTTAATGCAGATTTAATTTTCTAATTACTGGTGTATAAAGGAATTACCTTTTGTATAATAAATTGATTGGATTGCAAAATAAATGAATGACAGGTCTAAGTGGCCGCCTAAAGTATGTTGACACCACTTGGACTTGTGAAAAACATAATCATCACAGGTCATAAATTACTAACACATTATGCATCAGGTTATATCCTTTTGTTCACAGGGATTAATTTAGTTTAATACCCTTAAATAACCATTAGATAATTGTATTATTTTGCAGTGAGAAAGACCATCTTTAAATTTATCATTTAATGGTCTGGTATTGCAAGTCAAATAGTTTATTGGCATAAACATTTTACATGTTCATGGCCAAGTTTTATGATTGACTGTTTATAAATTAACATAAACATTGTATATTCAAGTACATTCATTAATTTTGTAAATAAATACAACTCTGCCTTGCTTAATTTTTGGAGTTATTGCCCCTTTGTTCATTTTAACACTTTGTCCGGGACACAACTAAGAAACTATTGAAAACAGAAAAACATGCCTATTCTTGTCCAGAGACCTTTTGATGTTTGCAAATGCATTATTGATTGATAGTGTACTTTGGAAATAAAAAATTCTGTTTACGTCAATATATGTTACATAACTTGTGACTTTTTCATCTTTAACGCATTGATCTGCAAATAACTTTTTTTTATATTGATATATAAACATGTTGTTGAAGATACTTTGGAAATAGCAACAACAAAAACTTTAAATATAGGTACATTTTCTAAAGCAACTATGTAAAGGAAAATTTTTGTAAGGAAACATGAATGTTAAATGTAATAATTTTTTGATGGCAGGTTGAAAAGAAATTTGTATGCAAATAGACAAAGACATTTTTACACAAATAGAAATATGTATTGAATACAAATAGACTTGCACATTTGAATATAGATATAAATATTTGTTTATGAATAGACATATACATTTTTATACAAATATACATTTTCATTTGAATACAACTAGGCATACAAATAGACATAGATATTTGTATACAATGTACACATAAACATTAACATTTGAATGCAAATAGACAGATACATTTTTTATACAAATAGACATGTATTTTTTTTGTACAAATAGACATAATATCTTTCAAATAGACATCGAAATTTGTATACACTTTAACATTTGAATGCAAAAAGACATTAACATTTGAATACAAATTGACATAACATTTGCAAACAATTAAATAGACATGGATATTTGTATTATCATTTGCATGCAAAAGACACAAACATTTTGATACAAATAGACATGAATATATAATTTCAAATTAGAGAATTGTCATATAGGATATACTTGTACCCGAATGAAAGAACAGAGTTGTTGCTAAGTAACATGTTAGAAGGTCGACAGATCATTGCCAGTATGACCGGGTTTAAAACATTTGCAGAGAGAGCTCTTAAAGGAACACTCGCTGAAAGTCCTGGTACTTTGTTACATTTGTACATGGATATTATAGAAAAATCAAACTCAATGATTTGGAGCTATTAACTTTCCCATCTTTGAATCAGAAACAGTCTGTTGTTAAAGATATGTTTATACTCAAATATTATATAATATATATATTCAACAGCCACGGGAGGGAAATTGTCCGCTCTGACAACAGCGGGAGGGGAATTGTCCAGGTTGTTAAAAGAACGGGAGGGGAATTGTCCGGGTTGATAAAAGAACGGGAGGGGAATTGTCCGCCGTGAAAAAATAACGGGAGGGGAAATGTCCGGGTTGTGAAAAAACATTCAAATTTACTGGGATGGGAATAGTCCGGGAGGGGAATTGTCCGGATACCTCCCTGGACACACTATCAATATAAGTTATAATACATACTATATATAGCATATAAGTATATACAATTATGTCAATAGTGTGTCCAGCACCTGGTGATTATACATCACAGCTGTTTGCAATTTGTTATTTACTTCCTTCTTTCACTTGACAATATTTTATTTTTTAATACATTTTCAAAATTTTTATGAAAATACACATGAATCTGGAGACATACTGCTTAAATGTACAGAAAAATTTACCCTTACCATCCATCATCCTAAATGTCTTAAAGAAACTCCACTGAGGTTCAAAAGTCTAAAACAAAAACAACTGAATTTCATATATGGAGCAATTAAAAAAGAAAAATAATAAAATAAAAAAAAAATAAAAAAATGTACTCAGAAATAAATTTAAAATCATGTTTGCTATTCTGAGCCCATTTTGAGTGGAAAGTACTGAACATCTGACCAAAAGATCAGCTTCCTTGCTCTTTCTAAATCAAAATAATTTAATATCTGTGAGTGAATTGAAACTTTGGTAGTTAGCAAATGTGAGTGATTTTGAGTTTCAGTGTCAAAATGATCCCTCAGTGGAGATAATTGAGCCGCATCACAACTAAACCAACATAGTTTGTGACCAGCATGGATCCAGACCAGCCTGCTCATCTGCGCATTCTCATCAAGATCCATGCTGTTGGCTTACCAACCATTTTACAAGTAGAGAAACTGATAGCGAACAGCATGGATCCTGATCAGACTGCGCAGATGCACAGGCTGGTCTGGATCCATGCTGGTCGCAAACACACAATGTTGGTTTTGCTATGACGCGGCTCATATTTGTAATGAATAAATGCCTATCTTTACTCATAAATTTGAAGGAAAAATTATTTACTCTTTCTTTTATTTAACAAAAATGTTTTTGTTTTTTTTAATTTTTCAGAAAATGTTTGGAATTTTCTGGAGAACATAGCAGAAAAAATCAGAGACGGGTAAGCTTGTCATCCTGAACATGTACAAAATATCAATTTTAGTTTAACTCTTTTCAAAGAAAAAAGTAGCTATTGTTATTAATATTGCCATTGCCCTTGCCACTGCCCTTGTCTTTGCCATCTGAAAACTTTAACATTGGTAACAATTTTTTGCTCGATTTTTTTTTAAGAAAAACAATAGAGGTATTGTTACAGACATGGCAGCATTGCAATCGCCATCCACAAACTTGAGCCTTGGCCATTATTTTTAAGTTCTTGGTGTATAGTTTTTATACTCGGCCACAACAACCCTTTGGATAAGACCTTCAAATTGACCTGACTGAACTTGACCATGATTCATGAATAACCTTGACCTTCAAAGTGCAATAGATGCTATAATAAGTTTGGAATTAATGAATGGATTGTCTTTGTAATTTCATACTTGAGCATATGGACAATGTTTTCAAGATCAGACTCAATTTGTTTTTGTTTGTGCAATAATCGACAGTCAAATTATTGAATTTTGCTACAATTGGCTATATCTTTGTTATTTCCTAATGGATTTGATTTATACTTGGGATTGATTTATACTTTGGCAAAGGATCACTTATAACAATTCAACTATGACTTTGACCTGTAAATGACCTTTACCTTTAGGGTAAAATATTGAAGTCAGCTTAGATTGTCATAACTTTATTACTTATTTACAGATTTGATTTATAGTTGGACAAAGAACATATATTACAAAGACAACTGACCCTAACAGTTAAGGTCAATTATTGAAATTTGCTTAAATTGTCATGACTTTGTTATTTATTTATGGATTTCATTCATTCTTGGACAAAAAAACACTTCAATTAAATGACATGACGATGATAATTCAGTTGCGACGTTGGCCATTGAATGACTGCCTGTCAAAGTCAAATATAAAATTTCAATTATATTTTGTTCAGAAAATTATGTTTCTATGAGAATGTACTGTATTCTTAACTACAATATTCTTCCTTCAATGTGTTTGACTGTAGGGAAAAAAAAGTGTTGCATTCGCTTGGCTGTGGCTCTTGTACGACTTATGTCACTGTTCACTTGAAAAAAATGTATTTGCTAGTGTCATGAATTTTCCGGGTTTTTTGTTCAAGATTAATTTAAGATTGATATTAGTATGCCCTATGATGACGCAAAAAATAACATTTTTAGACTTGTATTGTATTTAACTAAAAAAAAAAATCATTGCTTGAGCCATGGAACTTTCTAAGAATACTATAGTTGTTTGGATGTGAACATATTCATCTGTGTAAAGTGACTCACATTTTTTGAAGATCATTAAAATTGACACCTAATTTGGCAAAAAGTATTTAATAATATATTTAGACTTGTGTCATATGTAAATTCAAAAATACGATATTTATTTAGATGCACCAGTAATTTTTCAGGACTTTGTGATAAAACAGTGGAATGTCTGGGCTTCTGTGTGCTGTGAAAACATTTCTAGTTTATATAAGATTCTGATTTACTCTGGCAATACAATATTTTATGAATGTTGTCTTTAGATATTCTTCTACAAATAACTTAGAATTTTATGCTCATATTTTGTTCCTATTTTTAGAGCTCGGAAGGAGTATGAAATTATGCGCAGCATTAAAATGGAAAAGAAAGAGACTGATAGCATAAGTGTTAGACATGATGTAAGTATTTTCCTGAATATATTATCTGTGTAGATTGGTTCAATTTGATACTGCAAATGTAACAGCTATTTTGATTGGATTGTTTGTACAAGGTTTTACAGGTGACAGAAAGTTTAAGGGGTGTCTGTGACCAAGTGGTTTAGGTCTTTGGTTTTAAACCACTTGCATCACACTTGCCCTTCACTATACAATCTCAATAAGGAAAACATAGTAATTTTGACTACTCTATAAGGACCTGGTATCCTTAAAAAAAATGGCATCTTTTTCTTTATTTTAGAAAGGACCAAATTAACTAGACCAGAAATAGAGAATGCAGCTTATTAAACATAGTTTATGCATTCTCTTATTCAACTTAGACATTTTAACTATGACTTTCCTAGATTAAAAGAAAATTCTGCACTAAGAAAATTTATTTTACAAAAGATGATTATTTATAGTTTATCTTTAATTCAAGCAACTGTGTATATAAATGATTAAAACATAATAATTCTCCAATGAAAATTGAAGATGCTGTAAATAAGGGGGTGCATCAATAAATTCGTAAACTTTTTCAATAGAGGGGAAATGATTTAATTCAAGTACTTGAAATGATTAGTCTTTCTCAAAGTTACGTCCCATGCATGATTTGCACTTGTACTATCTCTCGACCCATGACTAAAACATGTGTTGTAGCAAGTCAGGTGACATCTCCCGTTGCTGTCTGTCCACAGCACACCTCAGTTCCTCTCTTGACTCAAATTTTGTACCACGAAGACTGTTTTCAAAGTTGGAAACAGCCAGGAGTCACAAATTGCTAGGTCCGGGCTGTTGGAAGGGTTTGACAAAGAGTTTTTCAAGCGTATCCATGACAATGTGGATGGAATGGCTCGGCGCCATGATGTAATATGCGGACCTAAGTAGTTGTGGGCCCTATCTCCTTATTGCCACCATGAAGTCCGTTCTTATTAATGTTGCATAATAATTCCCAGTGACTGTCGTTTTCAGAGGAACAAAGTGGTTTAGCATTACACCGTATGTATCACTGAATATAATGGCCATAACCTTTCCGGCTGACTTAGAAATTATCGCTTTTGTAGGGGAAGGCGAGGAAGGATGCTTCCAGACAGAACTCTGACATTTGCTTTCCGGTTCAAAAAGTGAATCCACATTTCATCACATGTTATCACTTGATTTAGAAAGTAATGGCCTTCTTCACGATACCTCCTGTCATCCTTACCCCCATCTGCATTGACGTCAAGAAACAAGGCACCCATCTTGCTGAAATGTGGCACATTCCTTATCTGTCAGTCATAATGCCCTGAGCTGTACCATATGAAGTAGCAAACTCATCTGCTACATGTTCCACACTTACTCATTTCTCTCGGAGTATGTACTCCTGAATGGCAGCCACTGTTTCTTCATCTGTTACAGTCACTGGTCTACCTGCACGACTTTCCCTTTCAGTTGCCTCTCTGCCGTATTTAAACCGCTTTATCCACTTTGAAATAGCACCTTTTGACAGAGCAGCTTCTCTGTAACTTTTTGCAAATCTTCACAAATGTCGGAAAAAGACTTTCCGAATTTTGTGTAACGATGTGCTGATTGTTGATGCTGTGTGACGCCATTTTCAAACTGCCGGCCGAAATGTGACATCAGTTATGGTTTATGACATCATAAGTGATGACGTCTAAAAAAGTTGTGTTTGTAGTATGATTCAATTTGAAATTTTCTGTTTTCACAGCATTTAAAGTTTCATTTTAAATGGACCAGTAGTTTTGACACTATTGAATTAGTTTACGAATTTATTGATGCACCCTAATAGCTATCAGGCTTGAATAATAATGTTTGTTTTTTGTAAATTACTTTTTCAGGAAATAATGCCATGGGACCCACCATACTTTGCAAATTATTGTCGCAAAAAACTGTAAGTATCATTTTTTTGTGTCGCCAACTACAGAAAAGCAGTAACATATAGGGATCACTTCTCCATTGTCAGTCTGTCTGCATAACCTAATAGGGATAGGGGTCATCGAACAGTTACAGTTACTGTAAACAGAACAAAAGTGTTAATTCTATAAAAATAGAAGATGGGGCCAATGGCACTATATTAAACAAAAGAAAATAACAAAAGAAATAACAAAAGAAATGACAATTAATTGGGTTATGCCAATAATTTGTGTGCAAAATTTCAAATCATTGGCTCACTCTGTTTTTCCAGAATAACAGTTAACAGTCACTTATAACTCAAATCTTTCGGGTAAGATTAGAGCTAAAAATTGATTTTCAAATTAATTCTCAACTTATTGCTCTATTATATATTGCATTATATTATTGCGAGTGACTTTGTTAATCTTTGTTAGAATTTCAAATTATATATTTTTTTGGGATTTTGACTTCAGTGAAGTTCCTTTAAACAAAAGCGGAACACTAATTAAAATTATAAACTAAGCAATACAGTGTGTATGTGTTATGTTGTTTCAGATATGATGAGGAAAGTATATGTGACTACTTCTCCTTGGGTGTATGTATGGAAGGACTTAACATGGTGTTTAAAAGTTTGTTTGATGTTACACTAGAAAATGTGAAGCCAGAGGAAGGTGAGGTGTGGCACTATGATATCTATAAACTGGTAAGTTTAGTGTGAGACATAATATGAGCCGCGTCACGACAAAACCAACATAATGCGTTTGCGACCAGCATGGATCCAGACCAGCCTGCGCATCCGCGGTCTGATCAGGATCCATGCTGTTCGCTTACCAACCCTATTACAAGTAGAGAAACTGATAGCGAACAGCATGGATCCTGATCAGACTATGCGGATGCACAGGCTGGTCTGAATCCATGCTGGTCGCAAACCCACTATGTTGGTTTTGTCATTACGCGGCTCATATAACGGGGACAAGCAAGTACCGACTAGATAAGCTGTTTTATGTTGCCATCTAATTGGCAGCTGATCAGTTATTAAGCTTAGTGTTTAAATTGTTTATTTATGCCATTATTTGGAAATAATTCATCAATAAATTTTCGTAAAATCATGTAAAGACCATTAAATTGAAAGCAGCATGAGAAAACAGTGTCTTAGATCATTTTACAAATTATGCCAATGATGTTAGCGTTGTCATTGATGTTAAAAAATTAAAAACTGAATTACCATTGATATTAAATATAATATGAACAGATAACATCAAGCAAGTTTTTTATTTATTTCAATAGCAATAGAATTGAATTTCTTTAAGAATTCAATATGTCAATTAAAATAAGTGAATGATGTTCAGGGTTGTTTTCTAATGCCAGCGTCATTATTTTATTTACCACAGGACTGTTAAAATCTCTGACTTATGTTTCACCTATTTACACTTTTAACTACAGAAAAAAATAAACATTTTCACAACAATCAATTGGACAAAATGGTGGCCCATTGGTCTGATTTGACAAAATGTAACGCAATGCTTATCTCCCGTTTGTTGTCCCATTATATTTTGTTCTTGGTTTATTATTTATCTACATGCTCAATTTCAAAGTTGTCAGTACAATTATTTAAAGATTTTTTGTTATTAAGCTGTGGAAAAGTATGTTAATAGTTTAAGAAATTTTTACTTGTAAATATGTACAATTTAAGGGACTAAGGTTGTTCTAACCTGTTATTATGTGTGTATTTTGTGGATAAGAGATATTTCTGTATATTCTGGCATGTTATAGGTTATGTCTTTAGATAGTTTGCGTCAAGTGCTACATGTAGATTAAACCTTTTTAATTGCACACTTTTTATTAGAACTATTTTAAATTTACTTTGAATATAACACAAATGTTTTTTTTGGTAATTTACATGGATTGTTAATGCCGTTGGTTATGAGTAACTAACTTTCTTCGTTTATTTCACAAAATTTTACTTCTTAATTCAATTTCAAAATTTTCATGAAAATTAGCATGAATCTGGGGGCTTGCTGCTGTAATTGATTTACACATGGGTTCTGTGAAATGCAACCTCAAAAGATAAAATGAAATGATAATGCAGAAAGCCCAAATAGTGATCATTTTGTCATTTATTTAAGTTTTCATTGAGCAGTTTGTAATTGTTACAGTATTGTTTAAATTCAGGCTGTAACACACAGAACTGAAGGTATTCTGGGATACATCTATTGTGACTTTTTTGACAGGAAAGAGAAACCTAATCAGGTAAGAATACTTCAAACCACAGAAGCCTGAGTGCAGCTGAGTTTAGTGAATGTATAACAAAAGCAAGAAATTTTCCAAAAACTTTGTTACCCTTCTGTTAGACATCTTATTACTGATTAGACTATCCAGGAAGGCTGATGGACTGATTGGCCAGAAATGATTAAAGTGTGTTATAAACCAGACAAACTTACTGGTCAAGGAAGGCCAATAACAGGTGTATGAATATTAAACTAGTTCAGAATAAATACCGTATAAGTGGTTTTTTCTGCGGGCTCCAAATTCTGCGGTTTTTCAAAATTTTGGCATACTTTTATTTCTGCGGCATATTCTTTGGACAAAATGTGATTTAAATTCTGCGGCTCATCTTATCAAAGTCTAATTCACGTTACTTTACCTATTTTATTTGCATGTACACATTTGCATTAAATTTTGTTTACCGTCGTCACCGCAGACCTATATTATATAGTAATTACAGTTTGCATCTTTAAATCTGTGTGGAATGACGTGTGAAAAATATACCACGGTAGTATCTTTAATTTTATAAATTGATAGAAGTTTATCGTAAATCAGACAACAATTAATGTATACGACGATTATTTAGCAGTATAAGGGTTTAAATGGTTTTAATGATTTAGTTGTAAACAAACCCTTAAGCGTACAGACAAACACTATGATGTTTGAATTTCTTTGTTCATAAATTGGCATAATTAACAACAATTACATCCTTACATGCACATATTGCATATTTAGCCGAAATCAATTTTATATAACTCGATGACCTGCCAACCGTTCTAATCCGTTAGTCTTTATTCCTTTAAAGGAAACAGGTCATAATGTAGGACTCATTTCTTTTTAAAAAAACAAAACTTGGAGAAATATTCTGCGGTTTTTAGCTCGACTATTCGAAGAATATGAGAGCTATTGTAGTCGCCCCGGCATCGGCGTCAGCGCCCGCGTCGGCGTCTGCGTTGGTTAAAGTTTTTTGTAAAGTCAAATATCTCAATTATTACTTGAGATATTCAATTGAAACTTACAATACTTATTTATAGTAACAAGGTACATCAGATTGACAAGTTGGATAACTCTGCCTACAATATTGACAGAATTATGCCCCTTTTTAACTTAGAAATTTTGGTTAAAGTTTTTTTTAAAGTCAAATATCTCAATTATTGCTTGAGATATTCAATTGAAACTTACAATACTTATTTATGGTAACAAGGTACATCAGATTGACAAGTTGGATAACTCTGCCTACAATATTGACAGAATAATGCCCCTTTGGTTAAAGTTCTTTTGTTAAGTCAAATATCTCAATTACTGCTAGATATATTTAATTGAAACTTACAATACTTATTTATGGTAACAATGTACATCAGATTGACAAGTTGGATAACTCTGCCCTCAATATTTACAGAATTATGCCCCCTTTGGAACTTAGAAATTTTGGTTAAAGTTTTTTGTAAAGTCAAATATCTCAATTATTGCTTGAGATATTCAATTGAAATTTAAAATACTTATTTATAGTAGCAATGTACATCAGTTTGCAAAATTGCATAACTCTGTCTGCAATATTTGCAGAATTATTTGCCCTTTTGAAACTTAGAAATTTTGGTTAAAGGTCTTCAAAGATATTTACTTGAAACTTTACACATGCACTTAGGGTCATAATTGGAGGGTCATAATTGTATGTCACTGACCAAGTTCCATAACTCTATCTTGCATTAAGGCTGATTCATATCCCCTTTTCTACTTAGTCTCTTGGTTAATGTTTACATGCAAGTTTTACATATCTCAATAACTATTAAAGATATTTATCTAAAACTTCACATATGCATTTAGGGTCATAATTGTAGGTCACTGACAAAGATCCATAATTCAATCTTGCGTTTAGGCTGATTTTTCTCCCCTTTTTCAACTTAGAAATTCATGGTAAAGTTTTGCTTGTAAGCTGTTATCTCAATAACTACTGAAGGGTTTGTGCCTTTTTTAGGACAATTTTATGCATTCATAATAATAAAGCAGTGATTTACTTGATAAAACATCTTAATAACAAGCCTTTGTACCTTTTCTGTCAAATTTATGTATTCATAATAATTAGAATTATTATACTCAATAAAAAAACCCTTGTGACATTGCCTTCCAAATAGTCAAGCCAATTCTGTATAATTAGACTCTCTGTAAGGCCTATAACATGAATTTATAAAAAAAAATTAGCCCTTTTGTGAACTTAAAAAATTTAACAATATCAAGGCTCTTTTACTATCAAGCACTTAGAATAGTCGAGCATGCTGTCCTACAGACAGCTCTTGTTATTTCTGCGGTGCTGAAACTGACCGCAGAAAACGCAGAAATAAAGTCACCACAGAAAAAAAACACTTATACGGTAGTTCATTTCAGTCTATTTATTGTAAATTATTATACCCCCACCACAAAATGTGGGGGAGGCTATAATGGATTCGCTTTGTCGCGTCGGTCTGTCCATCGGTCGGTCCGTCTCCATTTTCGTGTCCGCTCTATAACTCCCATACCAATTGAAGGATTTTCTTCAAACTTGGCTCAAATGTTCACCACAACAAGGGGATGTGCAGAACCCATGTTGCCCATGTGTCAGCTCAAGGTCAAGGTCACAATTGAAGGTCAAATATCAAACAATCAAATATTACACAGTATGTCGTGTCCGCTCTGTAAGTCCTACACTAATTGAAAGATTTTCTTCAAACTTGGCTCAAATGTTCACCCTCAACAAGAGGATGTGCAGAACCATGTAGCCCATGTGTCAGCTGAAGGTCAAGGTCACAATTGAAGGTCAAATATCAAACAATCAAATATTACACAGTATGTCCTGTCCGCTCCGTAAGTCATACACTAATTGAAAGATTTTCTTCAAACTTGGCTCAAATATTCACCTCAACAAGGGGATGTGCAGAACCCATGTTGCCCATGTGTCAGCTGAAGGTCAAGGTCACATTTGAAGGTCAAATATCAAACAATCAAATATTACACAGTATGTCGTGTCCGCTCTGTAAGTCCTACACTAATTGAAGGATTTTCTTCAAACTCGGCTCAAATGTTCACCTCAACAAGGAGATGTGCAGAACCCATGTAGCCCATGTGTCAGCTCAAGGTCAGGGTCACAATTGAAGGTCAAATATCAAACAATCAAATATTACATTATATGTCGTGTCCGCTCTGTAAGTCCTACACTAATTGAAGGATTTTCTTCAAACTTGGCTCAAATGTTCACCTCAACAAGGGGATGTGCAGAACCGATGTTACCCATGTGTCAGCTCAAGGTCAAGGTCACAATTGAAGGTCAAATATCAAACAATCAAATATTACACTATATGTCGTGTCCGCTCTGTAAGTCCTACACTAATTGAAGGATTTTCTTCAAACTTGGCTCAAATGTTCACCTCAACAAGGGGATGTGCAGAACCGATGTTACCCATGTGTCAGCTCAAGGTCACAATTGAAGGTCAAATATCAAACAATCAAATATTACACTTTATGTCATGTCCGCTCTGTAATTCCTACACTAATTGAAAGATTTTCTTCAATCTTGGCTCAAATGTTCACCTCAACAAGGGGATGTGCAGAACCCATGTCACCCTTTTGCCGGCTTAAGGTCAAGGTCACACTTGAAGGTCAAAAATTGACTTAGAAAATATTCTTAAATTTTAACATTTATTTGAATATTTCTGAATCTAGAAAAGGTTTTTGCTTGAAACTTAAAATGTATTTGAAGTGTCACAATTAAGATATGCTGGTCAAGTTTCATAATTCTGTATTGCATTTTAACAAAGTTATGCCCCTTTTTAAGTCTTCAAATTTACATACAATCAAATATATAACAATATGTCGTGTCGGCTCTATAAATCCGATACTAATGGAAGAATTTTCTTCAAACTTTACTCAAATGTTCACCTCAACAAGGTTATGTGCAGAATTTATGTCACCTTTGTGCCTTCTAAAGGTCAAGGTCACACTTGAAGGTCAATAATTGACTTAGAAAATGTTCTTAAATTTTAACATGTACTTGAATAATTCTGAAACTAGCACAGGTATTTGTTTGAAACTTTAAGATATATGAGATGTCGCAAATAAGATATGCAGGTCAAGTTTCATTACTCTGTTTTGCATTTTGACAAAGTTATGCCCCTTTTTAAGTCTTCAAATTTACATACAATCAATACTAGACAGTATTTTGTGTCGGCTCTATAAATTCTATACTAATGGAAGGATTTTCTTCAAACTTTACTCAAATATTCACCCCAACTGGGCGATGTGCAAAACCCATGTTACCCGTGTGCCAGATTAAGGTCAAGGCCACACTTGAAGGTCAAAAATTGACTTAAAAATAAAATGTTTAGTACATAGGGAAAATGAAAGGTTTTTTGTAACTGTTTCGAACATGATTTGATAATATATTTATACTATTACCTGTACTGTTAGTCTTTTTTTCACCAGAGATAATTTCTTTTTATGTATTTATGCCACACAAGTTATTGCCTTAACCACCTTTCCAAGTCCTCTTCTGTCAAGGACATTGGTGGGGGTATGAATCGCATTCAGCGATAGTTCTAGTTATGAGATGTATTGCAAATAAACACATTAATAGATAATGATTATAGTATTGTATAAGTGGAAAATTTTGCATCAAGGAAATATTTGCGATTTTTGCAAATTGAAATTATTCGCAAATGTTTGGTCACAGAAAATTATTTCTGTTCAGGCAAACTTTCTCCTATCATTTGAAAACACATTTTCATTCAGTATCTTACATCAATAAGTTTGACTGTTCACTGTGTTCAGTTACTGAGATTAATTTTGAAATCCTTCAAGCAACAAAAAATGGACTGTTCCAAATTCAAAGAATGGCTAGTCCATTTCCAAAAATAGGCAGGATAAGGGTTAAGTTCAATGTCAGAAAATGTGTTTTTGTGATTATGTACATGTAGGTATTTTATTACAAGTGATTATAGGGCATCCCTTGGGCGAGTGGTTAAGGTCGTTGACTTCAAGCTACTTGCCCCTCACCGCTGTTGGTCAAATCCCAATAGGGACTTTAGATTCTGTCATGTGAGGAAGCCATCTAGCTAGATTTACGGAATGTCGGTGGTTGTACTCGGGTGCCTATTCGTGCTTGAAATAATGCATGGAAGAGGTTGACCTCCATCTGTTAAACTTGAATGTCACCATAATTATGACTTATATGCCTGTGTGACATAAAACACAATCAAAATAAAAAAATCAAGACAGTGATTATTTTACATTTAATATTGCAGGATTGTCATTTTACGATACATGGTGGTAGAATGAAGGAAGATGGGGAATATCAGCTGCCCATCGTAGTACTACATCTGAATTTTATGTTCCCAGGATCCTTCACTCCTACGTTGCTCCAACCCAGCCAGCTGGAGAATTTGTTCCATGAGTTTGGACATGCCATGCATTCAATGTTAGGCAGAACTCAATACCAGCATGTTACTGGTATATGATTTTTTTTTTCATTTCTTTGTTTAAATTGCCATTAAATCTTTACAACAATGATGTTTCTTAAAAACAAACCAAAAGGGAAATAAAAAAAAAAGAGCTGCATGTAAGTTGTGCATTTTGTGCTTGCTTTTGTTTACTTTCCAATACTACTCAACTTGTTCATTGTGATCAGATTTTGCTGTCTTGCCTTCATCTTGCAACCCTCATTTTTACTTAATGGCTCATTATGCTTAAGAAATGCTGTTATTCTTATTCCTCAAAGTTTTCTATTTTTTATGTGCTTTTATAGTTTCCAAAAAGTTACTCATTGGCCAATTAACTGAACCAACTTTTGCGTCTGTTGCTTTTTGGCAATTAGTGATAGTTACAGTGATTTAGTATTTTGTATGGAAGTCAAAATACTACTTTGTTGACATTTTGCTACTTTTGTGACAAATTATTTCAAGTTTATCTAAAATTTCTTCAAGTAACAAGCATCTTACATATTTTAAGCGTTGTTCAAATGTTATAAAATTCATATTTGCCCTCTCTAAAATAGTAAAAATTTCTTCTTTTCTGAGGCTTAATGTGCACTTAACATCACGAAAACCATAATGTTATTTTCATCTTGTAACTGAGATACATAACTAATTTTGTAACTTAAAAGTCTTTAAAAGTGACATTAAGCTCATATTTTCATTGCCAAGTTAAGCTGAATTGACTTTATATTTCAAGAGATTGTCTGTTTAGATGATGTTTGACCAACAGATTATATTGGAAAAAGTTTAGGATAAATTTAAAATATGCCTAAAATATAAAAAGACTGCCCCACTCTTTTTATAAATTGAACATAACAGGTAAATTCCAAATGAATTTTACTGAATTTTGTTTTAATCGGCTTGTTATTTATTGTTTATGCAAAGTAAATTATTAAATCAAAAGGAATTATGGCAAAATGAAAATTTATTTTGACTCTCACCTGTTCACTCACCAAATACCTTTAGATGGGCATAATGTCACTTTAAATCACACTAGGTTCTTTGCTTATTTACCTGAATTTCTAAAATATTAGTCTTCACTCAGGGATAAGTAACCTGAAATTCTTAAAATCTTATCAGATCTACTGTATTTAGGTTATTTTACTATTATCACTATTGAATTCAGTTAGTTGACCTCATGTAAAAGTACATAACTATTTGTTCTTATATCCCATCCCAATGACATACTTATGATGTTTCTCTAGTTGTATAATGTTAAGTAGATGACCTCAATAAAAATGCTCAGGTTTATTTTAATGAAACACCTCTTAATTGGTTTTTTATTTGTTTTTTGTCTTATGTATAGATATATATATATACATATATTTGACCTGTCTAATCATTTTTTAGTTTATTTGTTATACTGACATTTAAACCTCGAAAAGTACTTTAAGGAAAGGTTATATGTTAATATGACCTTTATTTTTGTATTGTACTGTATGTAAATTTGTTGGCAATTTGAAAAGTAGTTCATGCGCTAGAAGTGCTCCAAGCTTCACTTTGTACTTCAGTATACTGTGTTGGTGCAACGTAAAACCCGACAAAAAATTTAAAACCAAAGAAAAAACAAAATGTTTTTATGTTAAAGGATTCAATTCTTTTCATTTAATGTAATTAATCTTTAATGTTAATCATTTCAGCTGGTTAAAGCTATTGTTTCTGTATACAAGTAAAGTCAAGAGCTATTAAAATTAATGTGTCTGTCTTAGTTTTATATTATGTTAGTTGACCTTGATTGATATTTTTATTTCATATAGGGTATATTATTTAGCTAATTTAAAATTTACTGAAGAACTTGAAATGTTACAGTAAATTACAATTTTTAAGCATGATTATATAGCAATAAGTATTAAAACTTATGTATTGAGTTCTATAATTAGAATCACTATTGACATAATAATGGTTCAAAGATAATACAGGCATGTGAAATAAATACAGGCATGTAAAATACCTAATATTGTGTGTTTTTTAAGCTGATTTTTTTAAATCTCCATTTATACTTGTGACGGAACGGTTTTTATTAAAGAAGTCCTGACTGAGCTTAAGACACTATAGCTGTATTAATTCCACAAACTTACGACCCCATGAAATTGCCTTCTGCTGGCAAACCACGAAATGTTATGCCTCAAATCAAATAATTTCACACTTTTGAATAAAGATGTCTTATTATTAAACACAACACTTTGTACCATGTATATCATTAATCAATCCAAAACAATCTTAAATATGTAATTACTAACTGGTTAAGATATATTTTAACCTTGCCCTCTTGATTTACTGAGTCAGTATCTAGTCAATGCAGTACTGTATTGTGTCAACAGAATTTAGTGAGGGCAGGTGTGTCCTGCATAGTTTGTCACTTTTTGCCTTACTTGAGTAAGCCGTTTTTTTATTATCTTTGAGGTTTGATGACCATATGATACCTGTGTTTAATATTTAGCTTAAATGTTTTCATTTTGCTGTTTGTTACAGGAACCAGATGTCCAATTGACTTTGCTGAAGTTCCGTCAGTATTAATGGAGTATTTTGTCTCCGATCCAAGGGTGAGATTTTATTATACAATTTAAAGAAATGATAATTTATGGCAAACATTTCAGTGTTTTAACCCTTAACATGCTGAATATATTAAATGGACTTGTCCCACTTCCATTTTTGGGACTGTCCATTATCAATTTTAGGGATATCAATTTGAATATTTAAAGTTTGTCCGCCAATAGTATAGAGCCTGGTCAGACTGCACGGATGTGCAGGCTGGCCTGGCTCTATACTGGTGGCAAAGGCTTAACATTTTCGGTTCCAGCACTTTAAGGGTTAATTTTTGACACGGCATAGCCTAATATAATTTTCTATATATTTTAAATCTGTTTTTAGCTAATGATAAGAATTAAGTTTTAATGACTTTTTTTCTGTGCTTGTTTACAGGTGCTGTCAGCATTTGCCAAGCATTACAAGACAGGGGAACCACTTGAAGGTGAAAGATTGATGAATTTCTGTAAGAGCAAGAGATTGTTTTTGTACTCAGTAAGTAAAAATTAACTTTATAACATCCTGATAACCTTAAGTGATAAGCCTTTGCTCCCAGTATAGAGCTAGCCCAGTCTGCAATATTATATAGTCTGACCAAGTTCTATATTTCTTGAAGCTCAATTTTTTAGCTTCACTTTTCGAAGACCAGTTTACCTTTGTCATTAAGGTCCAATTGCTCAGAAACGATAAGGGCTATTCGCTTCAAACTTAGTATACATGTTGATTGTCAAAGAAGGATGTCAGTTTTAAGGGTGCAGACAGTCCTAAAATTTAATGTTTGTAAAGTTATGTCTAAAATTTAATGTTTGTAAAGTTATGTTAACTATCAAGCAATGAGAAAAATGGAGTAATCTGTCTTGATGTATTTTGATGTTAAAATCCCTTAAATTTCAAATGGACTGTTCCAAGATTAAAGATGAACCCAACAACAACAAAAAGGTCACCATTTGATATATACAACAAAGTGTTGGTGGTTCTAATAATGTTACTGCTCCTGTCTGAAATAGTGCATGGAGGGGGTAATATGATGTTGTTTTTACCTTGGAAAACTGGAGAGTTTTCATATGACATGGCCTTTTAAGGTGTTTATGTTACTTACACATAAACATAAAAAAAATGATATGAAAGATATTTGGTTCATTCGGACATTTGTTTGCTATGATTTGTACATTTTCACATGCCTATATATCAACCGTCTGAATGCGTAACATAATTTCAGGATTACCAACTACAGGTGTTTTATGCACTGGTAGATCAAGCCTTCCATGGATCCTGGAAATCTGACACTTATGATTGTTCATATACTGATATTCTTAGAGACATACAAAACAAGTATTATGGAATACCACATGTGAAAGATACTGTAAGTTTTGTTTCTTCTGTTATAAAGTTATTGAAATGTAGCAAATATTTAGTTGATAAAGTGTATATCTGCCTTTTAACAAAAAAATTTAAAGTTTTACATTCCTCAAATAACATAAGTACTGGTTTGTCCAGGACACAATTGGGGAAAATAATCAATTTTACAAAAGTAATTATCTAATATGTATTAAAGCACAAAATTTTCTTTCTATCTATAATATGTGCTTCACGCTTTATATGGTATGTGCTTTACCCATGTTATGTTATGTGCTTTACTGTAATATTTACAATATTTAACAAGATAGTGATATGCTTTGTATGAATGCAGCATTAAAGATTATAATCATATTACCAGTTCAAAAAGTTTCACATGTTCTATTTTGATAAAGGCATCTGTTGTGAAATATTGTTTGTGTTTTCTAGGCCTGGCATCTTAGATTTGGTCATCTTGTTGGATATGGTGGTAAATACTACTCCTACCTTATGTCCAGGGCAGTAGCTTCTAGAATCTGGCGACAGTTCTTCAAAGATGACCCGTTCAATCGGTAAATTTTTCTAATTTTATAGCATACTGGTCTTTGCTGCGTAATTGAAATTTATTGCATATAGTAAAAAGCATTTCTAAAGGATACAATGATCCAGTACAGATTGACAGGAATGCCTGTTTTTTTGTTTGTTTGGGTTTTGTTATTGTTAATTTATATATTTATTTTTTTTGCCAATGGAACCAGATAGAACATCGGTGGTTCTATTTTTCGTAGATGCCCTCTTGTGCCTGAAAGAATACTTTTAGGGGCACCTGAGATCTTGCTCCACTAGTAAATCAGGAATACGGGTAATGGCCATATGACCTTTACAAATGTAGTTTGAGTTAAAACTAAACAACATTTTTATTATACAGTGTATAGGTGTGACAGACAGTTATAAGATTTGTGTTGATTTCATCTTTATGAGTGATTCTAAGATGATAGATTATGGTTATGATTAAAGGATTATGGTTTCACATAATGGATGTATATGTATTGGTTTTTCACCATCACACAACTACAACTGGCAATTGACTGTTGCTGTTTCCACAGTACACAAAAAATTAAACTTTATATATTTTATTTACAGTGAGAATGGTGAGAGATACAGACAAGAGCTTTTGGCTCATGGTGGGGAACGTCATCCAAGTGAACTTATTGAAGGTAAACTGTTACTCTCCCTTTAAAAATTCTTTTTAAGAGTTTTTCTGTTTTTCCACACAATGTTTTATTTTTACCTTATAAACCCAAGCATTTACCTTTAAAGTACACTAGAAATGCACTTTAATACTGTCCAATTGTCAACAATACTTATTGACGTTATTTTGTAAGTACATTAGTATTTTCAGTAGCACACTGGCACTGGTCACTTGTATAACATCGTGAAAGAGTTTTGCTGTTATGATTAGATTGAAGAATATATTTATAATACCAATTGTTTTCTACACCATGTTTTATTTTTATACTTTATAAACCCAAGGTGGCATTTACCATTAAAGTGCACTAGAAAATTTACTTTAATGCTGTCCAATAGTCAATAATAGTTATTGCCTGTATTTTATAAGTTTATTAGAATTTTCAGAAGTACACCAGCACTGGTCATTTATATTTCATATTGCTGTCTTGACTAGTAATAAGTGCTATATTCATTTATACAGAGTGCCATGTTCACTAGTAATTTGTAAACTATTATTGTTACTTGTACATTATGTCATGTTCACTAGCTAACTGTCATGGTTACAAGTACATGATGCCATGTTCACTAATGCATTGTGTCATGTTCACTAGTTAACTGTTATGGTTACTAGTACATGATGCCATGTTCACTAATGCATTATGTCATGTTCACTAGTTAACTGTTATGGTTACTAGTACATGATGCCATGTTCACTAATGCATTGTGTCATGTTCACTAGTTAACTGTTATGGTTACTAGTACATGATGCCATGTGTCTTTGTTGTCATTGTTGTTGTCATCTTCATGCAAAAAAGTTTATTGTTGCAGGTTATTCAAACATTTTAAGTTATCAACAAGAAACTTTGAAACTTGCTTATCAAGACTAGACCAGGGGTATTATTCTAAAAGCTGTATTTTTGGAGTTATGCCCTTTTTCAACTTATTATTTTTGTCAGAATTTGTTATTTTATTGAGAGTTAACACCACATGATGTGCTCTTGTTCACTAATACTTTACTGTTCTTGCTATTTGTTTTTAACTATTCTGAACTATTATCATTTGTATAGTAACATAGTGTTGTACTGTTTCTCTTAAATATTGCTCAAAAATAAATGTCCATTCTAATGTTGTTTAATTATCATTAATTTTATTTCGTTTTGTTTTTTTCCAGCACTTCTTGGTGAGAAGCCAACAATTGAGATGCTTACTGAATCATTAGTTGAAGATCTGCGACAACGGTCCCTTATTCCAGCATGAGACATTGAATGTTGACTTATATTGACTAGATTCATTTGAATTAAAACTGGGAAAAGATCAGTGTAGTCTATGCCAACACAATGTGTTCAAGTTTTGATTGAAAACTTGAAAAAAAAAAGATTATTAAATCGACCAACTGTGGTTGAGTGGTCCTGATTCTGATGGATATATTACACTGGCTTTGATACTTTGTTATGTTAATGTTTTCCAGTGACATCTGTTGTTGATAATCTCTAGCTGGTAAAGACTAATGAGCCACGTCACGACAAAACCAACATAATGGGTTAGCGTTTCGTCGTGACGCGGCTCAAATGTCAGTTATGAAGATTGTTTGTGGCTCAGAATAAATTGTCATTCAGGCTACGTCCAATTGTTAGTTGTTTATATCATATATTTACATGTTTAAATTGCAGAGCTGTCATTGATTCAGTGCAAATGATATCAACAATATATTGATATCGGATGACAAATATCAATGATACACCAATATATCAATAATTACCATAATAATCTGTCTGTCATTCACTTTAATACCTGTTTTGACTTCAGTTAAAACATGGTCTGTTTTAGTTTAGTGTCTTGTTTAATAAAAAGCCCTTTGCATGATTTTTTTCCAGACAATATTTGTATGTCATCATTGCTGTGAAATTTTTCCACTATATAACAACAGCATAATGTTAGACATAGATAACTGATTCTGTATATGTTTAGTCTGACACGTTAACCAATCAGCCATGCTGCCACAACCCTCTTTACTCAGTAGGGAGAGCATTGGATAAGTAATGCTGGGGTTGCTGATTTGATCTTAGAGTAAGGTATCATTTCTGTTACATTGATTGTGTATTGTAAATTGTCTCTTATCCTGAATTGTGTGGATTACTTGTCAATCACATGCTGAAAATAGATAATTTCTGGTTAGTTGTCCAGGAAAAGCCGGTAAGGTAGATCAGCTACCAAGATATGATTTAATATTATGTTAAAATGGGCATAAAAAGCTCAAAATATAAATAAGAGGCTAATTATAGCCCAAATTTTTAGCTCACCTGAGCATATGCTCAGGGTGAGCTATTAGGATCACTCTTCGTCCGTCGTCTGTCGTCCGTCGTACGTTGTCCGTTCACACTTTTCAAATGACATCTCCTCTGAAACCATAAGGCAGATCATAATGAAACTTCACAGGGATATTCCTTGTGTGAAGCCTTAACAAAGTTGTTCAAAGAATTCCATTCCATGCAGAACTCTGGTTGCCATGGCAACTTAAAAAAATCTTCTTTTAAAGAACCCAAAGAGCTAGAGCTAAGATATTAAGCATGAAACATCTTCTAGTGAGTGTCTACCAAGATTATTCAAATAAAAGCCCTGGGGTCAGAATTGGCCCCGCCCCAGGGGGTCATTGATTTTCCCTATAGGCATATAGTAAAAACTTAAAAAAATCTTCTTCTAAAAAACCCAAAGAGCTAGAGCTTAGATATTTGGCATAAAACATGTTCTAATGGATGTCTACCAAGTTTGTTCAAATAAAAGCCCTGGGGTCAAAATTGGCCCCGCCCCAGGGGGTCATTGATTTTCCCTATATGCATATAGTAAAAACTTTAAAAAATCTTCTTTTAAAGAACCCAAAGAGCTAGACCTAAGATATTAAGCATGAAACATCTTCTAATAAGTGTCTACCAAGATTGTTCAAATAAAAGCCCTGGGGTCAAAATTGGCCCCGCCCCAGGGGGTCATTGATTTTCCTTATATGCATATAGTAAAAACTTAAAAAAATCTTCCTCTACAAAAACCAAAGAGCTAGAGCTTAGATATTTGGCATTAAACATGTTCTAATGGATGTCTACCAAGTTTGTTCAAATAAAAGCCTTGGGGTCAAAATTGGCCCCGCCCCAGGGGGGTCATTGATTTTCCCTATATGCATATAGTAAAAACTTTAAAAAATCTTCTATTGAAGAACCCAAAGAGCTAGACCTAAGATATTAAGCATGAAACATCTTCTAATAAGTGTCTACCAAGATTGTTCAAATAAAAGCCCTGGGGTCAAAATTGGCCCCGCCCCAGGGGGTCATTGATTTTCCCTATATGCATATAGTAAAAACTTTAAAAAATCTTCTTCTAAAAAACCATAAGAGCTAGAGCTTAGATATTTGGTGTAAAACATGTTCTAATGGATGTCTACCAAGTTTGTTCAAATAAAAGCCCTGGGGTCAAAATTGGCCCCGCCCCAGGGTTCATTGATTTCCCCTATATGCATATAGTAAAAACTTAAAAAAATCTTCTCTTAAAGAACCCAAAGAGCTAGACCTAAGATATTAAGCATGAAAGATCTTCTTATCAGTGTCTACCAAGTTTGTTCAAATAAAAGCCCTGGGTTCAAAATTGGCCCCGCCCCAGGGGGTCATTGATTTTCCTTTTATGCATATAGTAAAAACTTAAAAAAAATTCTTTTAAAGAACCCAAAGAGCTAGAGCTAAGATATTTAGCATAAAACATGTTCTAATGGGTGTCTTCAATATTTGTTCAAATAAAAGCCCTGGGGTCAAAATTGGCCCCGTCCCAGGGGTCATTGATTTTCGCTATATACATAGAGTAAAAAGTTAAAAATCTTCTATTAAAGAACCCAAAGAGCTAGAGCTGAGATATTTAGCATGAAACATGTTCTAATGGATGTCTACCAAGTTTTTCAAATAAAAGCCCTTGGGTTAAAATTGGCCCTGCCAGGGGGAGGGGGGGGGGGGGGGGGCAAAAGTCATTATTATTCATAATTTGTGTAAAGTAAATCTTAACATCATGAAATATCTTCTAATGGGTGTCTTCCAAGTTTGTTCCAATAAAAGCCCTTTGGTTTAAACTGGCCCGGCCCTGAGGGCCTATGTTCAGGTGAGCGACCCCAGGGCCATCATGGCCCTCTTGTTAGATATAGAAGGTTAATATCCACTACTTAAGTTAAACAGTTATTAAATACATAAGTTTATTTCTTTTCAAGCAACCGGAAAAATATATTTTATTGAGTTCAGTTCATGCACTGAATTGTTTTCATCATTTATTACAGACGTCTTATTAATACAACCAGGATATGTATATACATGTATTATAAAACTGCACATATGTAACATCACTTTTCATTTGATTATCATGACATTATACACGGCTGCTGTCATTTTGTGGGGGGGGGGGGGAAATCTTTGTTTCTCTCTAAAAGATAAAGTTTGATGTAATCCTGTATTATAAATTTGTTATAAAAATTCTTGTTGATCAGGTTATATATAAACTAACATCTGTTTATATAAGGTCATAAATTGGTAACTTTATAACTAATAATATAAAGGTTTATTGCTTAAAAATAAGAAATTTGTAAAGTTGATAAAGTATACTGTCAAGAAAATATGTACTGAAGTAATAACAATGAAAATAAGGACAGTGTGTTAATTTGTTATTGTTTCATGTACTCTAGGCTAGTTTCATCTCGCGTTGCAAAACATGTTTTTTTTGTGTTTCTTTAAAGGGAATAAACTGAGTTTTTTTTTTTGACAAGACAGGACTGGTAGTAATTTTTCCAAGATTTATTTGAGCCACGTCACAACAAAACAAACATAATTGGTTTGCGATCAGCATGGATTCAGACCAGCCTGCGCATCTGCGCAGTCTGATCAGGATCCATGCTGTTTGCTTACAAACCCCATTAAAAGTAGAAAAATGATAGCGAACAGCATGGATCCTGATCGCAAACGCACTTTGTTGGTTTTGTCATGACGCGACTCATATTATTTTAATTTGATGTAGGTATATACCAATAACTTTTGTGCAAAATTTCAGATTATTCACTCACTCTGTTTTTTCCAAAATTAATTATTCTATGACCAAATATTTAAAATGTTTTTCATGTAAATTGGACTTATAATAGCACAAATTCAATTTTTAGTTTATTTCCCAGTATATTTCTTACAAATCTTTTGGTTTAAACATATTTATTTTTTCATCAAGTTACAATATTCACATCAAACACAAAATTTATACAAAATCATGATAAAATGGATTGAACTGGAAGCTCAAAGCTTATTGTAATTCTCTCCACTTTCTCTTTTGCAATTCGTTCTGATTTAAGAGTCTCAACTGATCTAAGTAAGAAATTCAACTTCTACGTTTTTAAGTTTTTTGACCTCAGTAGAGTTCCTTTACGTCTTACATTTTGTCTTATTTTGTGTCTTTGAAATAGAGGAAATTTAAATTACTGGTTTGTGTATAAAACTGATTTTTTGTGTGTGTTATAACTAGTCGTCTAATGATTTTTCCATTCTGACAACCTGTGCAATTGTTTTATTAAAGCTGCATGCCTCCAGACAGGGTCTTTCAAATAGAAACATGCAATGAGAAGGCTGAATTTGTAGTATTTATCTCCAGATTTCTACTGCCTCACTAACACAGGAAAGTTTGCATTTTTGGGGGGGTTTTGGGTTTTTTTTGGGTTTTTTTTTGCATATTTAGATGTTTATTTGGTAATTTACACGGACTGAAAGTGCCATTTGCAATTTATAAATTACTTTCTTTGTATATTTGATTTTTTTTGGGGGGTAAGGATTTTTTGATACGTTAAAAAAATTTCATGAAAAAAAAAATAGGCTAGATCTGGAGGCATGCTTCTTTAAAGCAATTTAAAATGAATTAATTATTTTCATGACAATATTTAACATGAGTATTATTGTTCTATTGTTAGAATATTTCCTCTTGAAATTTGACTGGCATCTAGGGAGGCCTGAATGTAAAATGAAATGTTAATATATGGCATGAGTGATCCATTTTGTTAGGTTAGCTATGAAAGTATTTGAGACCCAAAAATAGTATTGTATATCATCAAATTTTATTCAGTTAAAAATTCTTAATTATTAGTATTTACGCTTGTGTCAGGTGCAATTTATAACACAATGAAAAAAACTTGTATATTTAAAGGGACATTGAGCCTCGGAAATTTATACGATTTTTCCTCAGAACAGAAACGGTAAACCAATGTACATGTATTATATTATTTAATTTTACCCATAAAATATGGTGCTATATCAGTTTGATATTTTTCATATTTGTTAGAAAAACCAATATGAAAGATAACAATGAAAATAGGTGGAGTAAAAAATCATATTTATTTTTAGGGAACTACTTTCAGATGTTTTTTTCTGACAGTAAACAGTTATTTATTTCATTAACATAAATTTTATAATTGTCCATTCGGCTATTGTCCTAGTGAGCTAATGTCCTAGAGTGGTAATGTCCCAGTGGACTATAGTCCTAATGGGCTTTTGTCTGTTATTGGTATTGAAGATACAACTGTTTTACAATCTATATCATACTCATGAACTAGAAAGTGACTGATCAGTCATCATATATTTAAAATATATATGAGCCGCGTCACGACAAAACCAACATAGTGTGTTTGCGACCAGCATGGATCCAGACCAGCCTGAGCGTCCCGCGCAGTCTGATCAGGATCCATGCTGTTTGCTTACAAACCCTATAACAAGTACAGAAACTGATAGCGAACAGCATGGATCCTGATCAGACGGGT